GGGTATGGAGGGGAGGCATTTTGGCACAGAGCAGCATCTGAGCATGGTTGTATTACTCCTATGAAGATGAACATTGAGAAACAAACCTGTTTATTATTCCTCCTCTGAGTCCTCTGCTTTGGCGTGACTTGACCCAGATACAGATGGCCACTCGCACTGCTGAGGGAGTTGGACATGTGGCTCTCCAGAGCCCAGTACTGAGACTGCACGGTTTGTTTGCGTGCTCCCAGCAAGACCTGAGGCAGATTGCTTTGTGTGGGGGTTGTGGACCACGAAGGGAGAACAAGAACATTGGGAGCGCTGAGGGAGCCTGCCAGCTCTTGTAATTATCTTGTAATAATTTGCTCGCAAGCTCCCTAAGTCCTGCTACTCTTTTTGGAAACAATAAACTTTCGCTGGGAAGCAGTGACACAGCTGTCTCTGTATGAGATAATTTTGAAAGCCTGCCTTCTGCTCTGCAAAGCATAAACTGCCAAAACACTGAAAAATGACTGTTTTCTTGGGGAAACCCTTTGGCTTCAGTGAACTCAGATTGAGCCCAAAGCTGATTTTCTAAGGAGTCGTGTGCATGAATTATTTCCAAAAAGATGAAATGCAAACTTAGCACAATTCCTGAGCCAGGCCAATTTTTTTAGGGGGGAAAAATTGGGCCATTGCTCTAAACCACATTTAACTGGGTTTCTATATCCTCCAGATGCTGTGTTATATGGCAGCTGTCAGCTAAAGAGGAAGCTTGAGTGAAATTACTGCTGAGATGTGTCCTTGGTGGGGCAGGCAGCTCAGCCCCTTGTCCTGCAGAGGAATCAGCGTGGGCAGAAGCAGTGTCTGGGACAGCTTTGCTGCAGCAGGGATATGCAGAGCTTGTCCAAGCCTATTTCTGGTGGCTCTGGAGGCTGGAGAGGCTCTGTTGGTGTTTTCCTGTGGGTCTCCTGAACCTCCACTGATTACTTTCTTGAGAGAAGTCCCCTCTGGCCTCCACGCTGCCCTTGGCACAGCAGCTCTTGTAGGGTGGCAGGTAGGGGAGGCAGCTTTGCTATTAGCTTTGTCCATGTCTGCATGTAGGAAACACTTGTCTTACCCCATTTCCTCCCTCCACGCTGCCTGAACCAGGGCAATCTGCTGCCATGTTCCATTTACTTAGCGTGAAAGCCTGTGATCAGAGATAAAGTTCTCACCGTAGCTGTCTTCAGAGGTCTTTGGTCTTGTGTGGGTTGTACATGGACATCAGCTGTGATTTTTAACTAGAAGGGAGTGGAAGTTAGCCATCACACTGGTGTTTTTTGGGCATGGGGAGGGAAAGGATACTCTTTCAATAAAATCTGGATTTTTTTTTTCTAAAAAAATTTTTTTTCCCCTGTGATAATGAAGAGGAAAGGTATGAGTGTTCAAAACAGCTTGCTTGTAGAGCTGGTGAGGACAAAGTGCTAAAGTGATGTTTGAGTTGGGTTTCAGTGGGTGCTTGTGTTTGCAAGGGGCAGTAACCAGTATGTGCATTGTCCCACCCAGTGGCTTTTGCAGTCAGGGACTCTCTTTGAGCCCCACCAACACCCCGCTAAGACAATAAACAAATAAAGCGAGTGTATGTAATTGCTATCAAACACTGTTCCTAGGACATAGATATGCTTCCAACAGCCCCTGCCCTGCTCATAGGCACGCAAATACAGATGGCAAACTGAAATTCAAACAAATAATAAAACGCCCCCCAACAAACTGTTCTTTTGGGCTAATCTCCTGATGTACGCCAGCCTTGAAATGAGCCCACGTGGTTCCAGGGACTTTATTTGTTTCCTCCCAGTGTTTCTTTAATTTACAGTAACAATTGCTCTGTGGCTTTATTCATCTTGATCCCAGTCCAGAAATGGTGCAACGGATTTCCTCATGTGGCTGCCGCTGCTGCGAAGGCTTTCACGTCACCGTTTCCTGTTGACTCAAATGCTCTTTCTTACTTTTGCTGACGTCAAGCAGAGATAGCAGATCAGGGAAGACTTCTGAGCAATGCAAAACAGAAAAATAGAAGTGCAAAGATTTCAGCATTAAGCTCTCTCAAAAAACACTCCAGCTTTCAACTCCTCCTAATTCCCCCTGGTAGTCTCCAAGAAAGGAGGCACATAACTCTGTCAGGTCAAATTTGCAAGTATCTGAACTATCTGCTGGTTTAAGATTTCTTTTTCCTGGCCCCTTTTTAAGCTGTCTGTTCACTTTTACTTTGCCTGCTGCAGATTGCCTTTTTTCATAAAACGCCCCGTTTATTTCACTTCTCAATGATTCCTGGGAGAGTGGTTGTTCTTTGCAGTTTGGCAAGCTGATGGCCTTGCTTAAGAGTGAAAATGGAAGACCTTGCTTGAATTTTAGATCGTGGTCCCCAAAGGGTGGTCATTAGTGCTGATCTTTCTAATAATTGTTGCCAAGTATGTAGCAGGCCAGTGCACAAATACTGTATTATAAACAAGTTGTAATACCCATCCTGCTCTTTTCTTCAGTAACCTCATGGGATTTCTAAGTGTTAGGACAGACAATTAGTTGGACCTCTTTTTTAAAAAAATGAAAATGAGGTAGTCCAAAGTTCTGTTGGGCCTAGATGGGAGAGCTTCAATAATTAAATAATCCATATTTATGCTTGACCTGTGAAATGAGACTATGGATGGAGGTGAGGCATTAGCTGTTACACCTGTGAGCACCGTGTAACATATGCAATGATACTTGCTCAGGTTTGCAGTTAGTCTGAAGCAAGAGCTGTTTGTAACAAAAAGCTGCAAATTCCATGTCATCAGTGATGTAAATTTTAAAACCGGATGTTTCTATGCTCACCTGAACATTTGAGAAAGAAGTAGTATCTTCCTTTAGCCATCATAGTACAGATGAGTACATCCAGAAGTCTGAGATGGGCCGTGGAGTTTTGTCCGCAATGGAGAAGCAGGGCATGTACATTTTAAGATGGGAAGAGTTAACTTTGTTTCCCTGAAGCTCACCTTTAAGGAAAAAGTAGAAAATATATGCATGTTCACCTAACTGTATGCATGTTTATACAAGCGTATATATTACTTGCATAAATACACACACACACATATCCCTCGTCAGGTTGCTGGTAAATTAAATTACTTCCTGTTGGAGATCTAGCAAGAGGGATTTCTTTTTTAAGTACAGGCTTGAAGAGATGTCTGGACAAGCTGGGTTAGATAAGCACGTGGCAGGTGGAGAGATCAGCGAGGAAGGAGGTGGGGAAGAATAACAAGGAGATGTAAAAGCTGGCCCGACTGGCAAGGCAGAGGTGGTAGGTTGCTGAACAGGTAGGCACAGTACAGCCAGACCTCAGCTAAACCAACTGCAGTGGAGATGTGGCATTAGAGATCTGCTGTGGGCTGAAGGGCCAAAGTTGATGGTGGGTTTGCAGAGTTTGTGCTGCTCTGGCTTAGACTGCTGCCATAGACAAGCCAGCCTGGGTGTCTTTCAGCTGCCCTGTAATAAAGGCAGAGTGAAACAATGAAGTATTGTTGTTTATAGGGACTGGAGATCGCACTTAACACGTGGTCTTGGTGCTACACGCAGTAGTACTGTGAGATTGCTGGGAACACATCTATCTCAGCTTCTGGAAGGAGCCCAGAAGGAGCCATTGAGCAGAGCCCAGGACAATGACAAGAAGCAAGCTGTCCTCATCTGTCACAAGCCGTTTGTTTTCCTGCTCATGTCCAGAGAGGAATGAAAGGGTTCATGGTTGCTTTTCTTCTGCTGTGTGCATCTCAAAATGTTAATACCGGTAGTCATTTCAAGCTGGCTGGCTGCCAGAAAGTGGAGCATAACAATGCTTATCCTCTTAAACTTAGAGAGGGTTTAAAACTGTCTTGTAGATGATTAACATCAGACCTGGGAAAGGCCTTGTA